TGCTGCACTGAAGGAACATTTATTTATCTTAAAGATCCGTCGTTCTCTAACTGACACACAGGGATGCTGGTTCTCTCAGCCTTCTTCTTTCAGCTGTTCCCTTCAGAACCTCTGCAGTCCTCCTTCACTACGTCCATGAATCTCCTCTGAGGCCTTCCTCTTGTCAATCAGCTTCATCTTTAACATCCTTTGTCCAATATGTATGTATTTTTTATTTATTTTTCCCTTTATTTTCAGCCATAGTTTGTAACTATTTGTGTGTATTTGCTCTCTCACACCGAGGATCTCAACATCTTTGTGCCACCTGTGGAACTGTATATACTATTATACTGCTAGCAGGCCTCTGTGTAACTGCAGGAGCAAGTAGTTACAAATAAAAAACAGCATTACAGGAAAGAGTGCAGAAGTAGCATTACAGTGTGGCTGCAAAGGGCAGCACTAACTGCCACTAACACATCCTGATAAGTAAAAGAAGCTGAACTAGGTGAAGAGCTCAGCGCATCCAGAGACCCCACGTGCATAGAAACTGAGGACATGCAGAGAAGCAGAGATGAATTGATGTGTAAGACCATAAAAGGAAAAGATAAGGAGATGTTTATGAAGGGTAGAGGAACACAGAGTAACAGGAAAAGTAGCTCTGAATGAGGAACTTTGAAAAAGTATACATGTGACAGATCGAGGGACTGCCCTTCAGACCTGCAGGAGGCTTCATGCTGTGAACATCTCCTCTCATACGTGGGTAAATAAAGAAGTTCTTGAACTGAGACGCCCGTCTCAGTCGTGTTTCCACCAGGTCAGAATCCAAGAATTGGGAGCGACGGCAGCTGGTGACACAGCGTCTCCAAACCAAACATCACAGCAGGTCTCACTTCCATCTTTAACTTTCACTCTTGCTGCTCTCCTTCTGTCACCAATCCCTCCTGACACTCATCTCCACCCGCTCCACCCTGCCTGTGCTCTCTTCTTCACCTCTCTTGTGCAAATTGACCCCAAGTATTTAAACTCATCCACATTCACTCCTTGAATGTTTCCATCTGTCTCCCTCTCTTTCACACACGTATTCCATTTTTCTTTGCTTCCCTGATTATATTTACTTCACCTGAATCATGAAATTGCAGGAGCCCCAGATACCTTATGATTTGTATTTATTTGTTTATTGATTTCGTAGCAACAACCATAAATATCAGCTCTAGAGGCTGTAGTGTACAGAGGACCCTCCTGCATGTGTGAAGTCTTACACACGGTCTGAAAAATCTAAATGTCAACAATAACAAGATGAAGAAAAACAAAGCAAACAAACACAGACACGTGTGTAGTCGTATCATTTGGTTGTGTAACTAATAAACACCAATATTTGTTTTTACTGATAAAACAAAAAGGCGACAGGTGTGTGAGGCTCAGCTGTGCATCAGAGAGGAGAGCTGCAGCTCCTGGCAGAGATCCTCCTGAACATCCTCCTGAACATCCTCCTGAACATCCTCCTGAAGATCCTCCTGAACATCCGTGTGTGTCTCCTCTCCTCTCCGCATATCCCTGAACACACACACACACACACACACACACGCACACACACACACACACACACACACACACACACACACACAATAAGTTTGTGTTTTTAAACGTAAATCATTGGGTTGGAGAGTTGGGCTGAGGTGGGTGTGGGTACATGCGCAGCTGCTCCGCGGCGGCTTTAACTTGGCTTCTTATCTGGTCACGGAGCTGCTGCTCGTCTCGCTCCCGATGTTTTCTCAGTTCGTGCAATTTCATCTTTAACTCCTCCTGCGTCTTCTCAATCTCTGCTATGTCCTGAACACATTTTTAACAACCGCGTCAGTTTGTGTCTGAACCCTCGCCGCTTCTGTTGTCACCATTCTGACTTCCATATTACTGTTGTTCTTTACTA